GGAATCCGCCTGCCGCCGCACTGGGAGCCAGCGCCCAACATCCGTTAAGGGCCACGCAAACCACGTTCCCGTAGTCTAAGGGCGTGAAATTCCTGTACCGGCTCCTTCGTACCACTGCCAATCGGTAAACACTTTCTGACTAGCCAAACTGCGAGAATTACTGGCCACCTGCCGAGAGAGACGCAAAATCTGCGATCGTTGGTTCGCGGCCGTGGGGCGCTGAAACTTGACACGCTGCCCCAAACTGCTAGCGCGGCGACGCCTGCCCTTGGCGGCATACGATTTGAGAGCGGATTTTCGTACGATTTGAGAGCGGATTGGAAGCGGCATTCCGAGGACGAGGACGACGCCGAGGACGACGAGGTGGACGACGACGAGGACGAGGACGACGACGACGACGGCGACGACGACGACGACGACGAGGACGACGACGGCGAGGAGGCCCAAGACGACGTCGAGGATGAGGACGACAAGGACGACGAGAACGTGGACGACGACGATGGCAACGGTGACGACGACAACGACGACGACGACGACGGCGAGGAGGCCCACAACGACGTCGAGGATGAGGACGACGAGGACGACGAGGACGTGGACGACGACGATGGCGACGAGGACGACGACAAAGACAACGAGGCCGAAGAGGACGACGTAAGCGAGGGCAGGGACGACGTCGAGGACGACGACGTCGACGAGCACGACTAAGACGACGACGATGACAACGAAGAGGACGAGGACGAGGCCGACGAAGAGGACGAGGACGACGACGAGGACGAGGACGACGAGGACGAGGACGAGGACGACGACGACGACGAATACGACGACGACGAGGACGACGACGAGGACGACGACGGCTGAAAGGCCCACGACGACGTCGAGGACGAGGGCGACGAGGACGAGGGCGACGAGGAGGAGTACGACGACGGTAACGACGGGGACGACGAGGAGGACGAGGACGACGAGAGGGACGACGAGGACGTGGACGAGTACGACTAGGGACTAGGGCGACGAGGGCGACGACGAGGACGAGGAAGCCGAGGACGATGTCGACGACGACGACGAGGCCGACGTCGAGTACGACGACGACGAGGACGCCGAGGACGACGCCGGCGAGGAAGCCCACGACGACGTCGAGGACGAAGACGACGACGATGACGACGAGGGCGATGCGGACGACGAGGACGACGAGGAGCAATGAGGACGAGGAGGACGACCAGGAGGACGAGGACGACGAGCACGACGAGTACGAGGTCGATGACGAGCACGACGACGACGAGAACGACGAGGACGAGGACGACGACAAGGACGAGCACGACGATGAAGACGACGATGACGAGGACCACGAGGACCACGAGGACGACGAGGGCGAGAACGACGACGACGACGAGGACGACGATCAGGACGACGGCGACTACGACGACGACGACGACGACGTCGAGGACGAGGACGAGGACGACGACGACGACGAGGACGACGACGATGACGACGACAACGACGAGGATGACGACGACGACGGCGACGACGACGACGCCGACGATGACGACGAGAGGAAGCGCATGACGACGTCGAGGACGAGGATGACGAACGTGAGGGCGACGAGGACGAGGAGGCCCACGACGACGTCGTGGACGAGGACGACGACGAGTACGGGGACGACGAGGACGACGACGAGGAGGACGACGACGAGGACAACTAGGTCGAGGAGGACGGCGAGGACGAGGACAATGACGAGGACGAGCACAACGAGGAGGACGACGACGACGACGGCGAGGACGAGGACGATGACGACGTCGAGGACGAGGAGGACGAGGACGAGGAGGACGAGGACGACGACGAGGACGAGAACGACGACGGTGACGACGACGAGGATGACGACGACGAGGACAGCCAGGACGAGGAGGACGACGAGGACGAGGACAAGGACGACGAGGACGGCGACGAGGATGAGGACGACGAGGACGACGACGGTGACGACGAATAGGACGAGGACTAGGACGACAGGGTTGACGACGACCAGGACGACGGAGAGGGCGACGACGACGATGACAACGACAAGGACGAGAACGACGAGGACGACGACGATGACGAGGACGACGACGAGGACGACGACAACAAGGACGAATAGGACGACGACGACGACGACGAGGACGACGACGGAGAGGACGACGACGACAGCGAGGACGAGGACGACGAGGACGACGACGAGGTTGAGGGCGACGAGGACGACGACGAGGTAGACGACGAAGACGACGGTGCGGACGACGACGAGGACGAGGACAACGAGGACACGGAGGACGACGAGGACGACGACGAGGACGTGGACGACGAGGACGACGACGACGAAGAGGACGAGGACGAAGACGACGAGGGCGACGATGACGTCCACGAGGACGACAACGAGAGCGACGACGAGGACGAGGACGACGACGACGAAGACGAAGACGACGACGAAGACGACGACGGGGACGAGCACGACGAGGACGCCGACGACGACGACGAGGACGGCGAGGACGACGACGACGACGACGAGGACGACGACGACGATGACAACGAGGTCGAGGAGGACGGCGAGGACAACGAGGTCGAGGAGGACGACGACGACGACGACGACGACGACGAGGACGCGAGGAGGACGACGAGGACGACGAGGTGGACAACGAATATTCCGATTACGACGGCGACGACGATGAGGACGACGACGGCGACGAGTACGACGACGACGAGGACGAGGGCGATGCCGACGACGATGGCGACGGTGACGACGACGACGACAACGAGGACGACGACGGCGAGGAGGCCCACGACGACGTCGAGGACGAGGACGACGAGGACGACGAGGACGAGGGCGACGACGATGGTGACGATGACGACGACAAAGACAACGGGGCCGAGGAGGACGACGTGAACGAGGAAAAGGACGGCGATGGCGACTACGACGTCGACGAGCACGACTAGTACGACGACGATGGCGACGAAGAGGACGAGGACGATGCCGACGAAGAGGAGGACGACGAGGACGACGAGGACGAGGACGACGACGACGACGTGGACAACGACGACGAGGACGATGAGGACGAGGGCGCTGGATCACGACGAGGACGACGACGAGGACGACGAGGATTGCGAGGACGAGGACGAGGACGACGAGGCCGACGACGACGATGAGAACGACGAGGACGAGGACGAGGACGACAAGGACGACGGCGACGACGACGAGGACGACGACGACGATGACGACGAAGATAAAGACGACGACGACGACGACTACGACGGCGAGGAGGCCCAGGACGACGCCGAGGACGAGGACGACGATGACAACGACGAGGGCGACGCGGACGACGAGGACGACGAGCACGATGACGACGAGGACGAGGACGAGGACGACGACGAGAACGAGCACGACAAGGACGACGACGATGACGGCGAAGAGGACGAGGGCGAGAACCACGAGGAAAACAAGGACGAGAACGACGACGACAGCGACGAGGACGACGACGACGACGACGACGACGACGGCGAGGATGCCCACGGCGACGTCGAGGACGAGGACGACGACGACGACGAGGACGACGACGACGATGACGACAACGACGTCGAGGATGACGACGACGACGGCGACGACGACGACGCCGACGATGACGACGAGAGGAAGCGCATGACGACGCCGAGGACGAGGATGACGAGCTTGAGGGCGACGAGGACGAGTAGGCCCACGACGACGTCAAGGACGACGACGACGAGTACGAGGACGACGAGGACGACGACGAGAACGACGACGCGGACAACGAGGTCGAGGAGGACGGCGAGGACGAGGATCACGATGTGGACGAGCACAACGAGGAGGACGACGACGACGACGGCGAGGACGAGGACGATGACGACGAAGAGGACGAGGTGGACGAGGACGAGGAGGACGAGGACGAGGACAAGGGCGAGGACGATGACGAGAACGACGACGAGGACGACGACGACGACGACGACGAGGACGACGACGACGACGACGACGACGACGACGACGACGAGGCGTGCCGCGGCGCAGGGGCTGCGAGGCCCTCGTGCGCTCCTGCGCTTCAGGGCTGGCTCCGCGCCGTCGGACAGGGTGCCGTCTTACGGTCGGACCTAGGGGCGCGCACAGGGGGGGTCCAGATCCAACGCCCCCCAAAAACACAGGGAGGTCCAGAGGTCCCTCCCTCCCTCACTCCCTCCCTCTCTCCCTCCCTCCTCCCCCTTCTCCTCCTTCTCCTCCTCCTCCTCCTCGTCCTCCTCCTCGTGCCCCTCCCCCCTGCCCCGTGCACTCAGAGATTCGACGCTCCAGCAAACATTGGGGCGGCGGGTTTGGGGCCGTTTTCGGCCTCCGGGGGCTCTCGCCAGGCCTCGGGGCCGTCAGATGACGACTCAGGGGGAAAAGCTGGCCCTGGGGAAGTGGTCCAGACCTCCTGGCCCCACGCATCGACAAAGTTGGAGCGGTTGGATGTCTGAGGAGGGGGAGGGGGGAAGGCTTCTTAGCAGCACCCCTGCTTCTTAGAAGGCGCGGGCCCTCTCTGTAGATGTAAGGCCCGCGCCTTCTTAGAAGCAGAGATGCTTCTGCGAAGCCCCCCCCTCCCCCTACCCCTTGTGCGCGCCGCCAAGTGTAAGATCGAAGTCGGTTCGGGGAGGATACCCTGATGTTCTTCGTGCTTGTTGGATGTTCTTGTGCATTCTGGGAGAGGGTGCCCTCGAGTGTTCTTCAATTTGGCTGGCGGACGGTCTCAAGTCATTGAAGGGTGTTCTTCTGTCCTAGGTCTGGCCGTCTCTCAAGCGGGATGATGGGAAAGAGGATGCGCAGAAGGCTCCGCAGAGAAGCTTCCGGCGCTGGGAGTCGAGGGATGCCGTGCACTGCGCACCCTGCATCCCCCTTTTTCTTACCATCTCTCTCGCTCTCTCTCTCCCTCTCCCTTCCTGTTGTCATTGTTATTGTTATCCGTCCTTCTGCACCCTCGGCCGCTTCAATTCACGGCAAGGTCATCAAGATGCTTACAAATATGAAGACAAAGGGGCAGCAAGAGATGAACGACGAGCAGGCGCGCGATGGACGAGGATGGGCGGCAAGGATGGAGCAGCGGCGGCTAGTCTATCTCCTCATTGCTATCCTTTTTCCCGCTCGCTCCGTCCACTTCCACCTGTCGGTCCTTGCTTCCTCATTATCCCTTCTTCTCTGTGCTCTGCTCCCTCTTTCTGACGCGTCCGTCCTCCATGCTCCTCCTTCTCCTCCTTCTTATTCTTCTTCTTCTTCTTCTTCTTCGCCTTCCGCAGTCGCTGCGTGCCACATCATGGAAAGCCGTGCGGGCGATAGTGGGGCTTCTGGGGCGGGCGGGATCGGGGGGGCGGGGGGCGCGACCGAGGCTGGGCGCCGAGGTGCCTTCGGCGCCATGGAGCGGCGGGCATCTGGCCTGGGGCTGGGAACATCCTCCTCTGGGGCCGACGGGGTGGGTGGGCGCGATCTGCTGTTAAAAAGCGCCGAGCTTCATTGAGGCAGCCGCGCGCGTGGGCCATCGGCGGCTGGAAGAGGCACGGCTGCCAAGCTGCTGAGCACTTCGGACACATGCGAAGTTGCGGACTGCTGCGGTTCCCTCGCGATGATTGAGCCGATCAGTTGTCGGAGCCCGGCGCTCGCAGCCCGATGCCCCCCCTTAGGGGGGGGCGGGGGGATAAGTACCATCCGGTTCAGCCTCGAACGTTAGGTCGGGCATGTCCCTCTACAGGGGGCACATTCAAAAATAGTGAAACATAGTCTTGGGACGATTTTCATTATTTTTTGACTATGTTTGAACATGTTTTGAATAGTTGTCACTTTTCTTCCAAAATCCGCCTGTCGGAGGACATGCCCGACCTAAGTCTAGCGTTCTAGAGCGAGATCCGTGCACTTATCCGTAGAATCGTACCTACTTCTCCATGTGTTGTATCCGCTTGGCAAGCAGGGGCAGTTGCCAGCCCCAGAGCCGTCTTTGCGGTTTGTGCTTCGAACGGAGGCGCGAATTCAGTTTGCGCCATTTGACAATTCTGCGATTACGGATGTGACGCATCGCTGCGGCGAATCATCTAGCCACCAAGCTCTTTTGGCGATTGTACCTGTACGCCTTCTCTGCGACCTGGAGGCACCGAGCGTTGCATTGACGGAGTTCGAAACCAATATATGTATATGATGCTCCACAAAGGGGCGTCAGCAGGTCACCTATTCGAAATGCTGGGGTTGTTGCCGTGAACACGTGAAAAGCGTGACGTGTGCGTGTATAGAAGTACACAGTGGTATGTATGTGTTGTTTGTTTATGTTTTCTCTCTGTCTCGTTTTCTCTATTTGTTGGTCTCTCTGTCTCTCACGTTTTGTTGTTGTTGTTGCTGCTGTTGTTATTGTTGTGTGTGCATATGTGTGTGTGTGTATTCTCTCTCTCTCTCTCTTTCTCTCTTTCTTTTTCCCAACCATCCTGTGGTGTTGGGTTCTCGTTTTGAAGAGACAGCGCCCCGCGTTCACTCCTCCTCCTCCCGCTGCCCCCTCCCTCCTGCCATCATCATCATCATCATCATCATCATCACCATCATCATCATCATCATCATCATCATCACCATCATGACGATCATAGGGAGCTCCAGCGAAGGCCCCAGTGGCTGCGCTCCCATGCGCCCACCGCACAGATTTCGGCACACCCCTCACACGTTTCGTGGCCCCATAGGGAGCTCCACCGAAGGCCCCAGTGGCTGCGCTCCCATGCGCCCGCCGCGCCCATTTCGGCACACCCCTCACACGTTTCGTGGCCCCATAGGGAGCTCCAGCGAAGGCCCCAGTGGCTGCGCTCCCATGCGCCCACCGCCCATTTCGGCACACCCCTCACACGTTTCGTGGCCCCATAGGGAGCTCCAGCGAAGGCCCCAGTGGCTGCGCTCCCATGCGCCCGCCGCACATTTCGGCACACCCCTCACACGCTTCGTGGCCCCATAGGGAGCTCCACCGAAGGCACACGTTTCGTGGCCCCATAGGGAGCTCCTGCGAAGGCCCCAGTCCCATGCGCCCACCGCACCCATTTCTGCACACCCCTCACACGTTTCGTGGCCCCATAGGGAGCTCCAGCGAAGGCCCCAGTGGCTGCGCTCCCATGCGCCCACCGCACCCATTTCGGCACACCCCTCACACGTTTCGTGGCCCCATAGGGAGCTCCAGCGAAGGCCCCAGTGGCTGCGCTCCCATGCGCCCACCGCCATTTCGGCACACCCCTCACACGTTTCGTGGCCCCATAGGGAGCTCCACCGAAGGCCCCACTCCCATGCCCACACGGCTCACACGCTTCGTGGCCCCTCCCATGCGCCCAGCACCGCCCATTTCGGCACACCCCTCATACGCTTCGTGGCCCCATAGGGAGCTCCAGCGAAGGCCCCAGTGGCTGCGCTCCCATGCGCCCACCGCACAGATTTCGGCACACCCCTCACACGTTTCGTGGCCCCATAGGGAGCTCCACCGAAGGCCCCAGTGGCTGCGCTCCCATGCGCCCACCGCGCCCATTTCTGCACACCCCTCACACGTTTCGTGGCCCCATAGGGAGCTCCAGCGAAGGCCCCAGTGGCTGCGCTCCCATGCGCCCACCGCACCCATTTTAGCACACCCATCACACGTTTCGTGGTCCCATGAGGGGGCTCCAGCGAAGGCCCCAGTGGCTGCGCTCCCATGCGCCCGCCGCACCCATTTCGGCACACCCCTCACACGTTTCGTGGCCCCATAGGGAGCTCCAGCGAAGGCCCCAGTGGCTGCGCTCCCATGCGCCCACCGCGCCCATTTCGGCACACCCCTCACACGTTTCGTGGCCCCATAGGGAGCGCCATCGAAGAAGATACTCACAATTGCGGTACTCGCAACTGCATCTGGTTGGGTCCTTCGCCAGGATTTTTTGTTGTTTTCTCGCTCTCTCTGTCTCTCTCTCTCTCTCTTTGTCTCTCTCTCTCTCTCTCTCTGTGTATTCCCTGTTCCTATATTTCTATCATTTGGGACCCTGCGGCCCCACCCCGTTTAGATCCTTGGCCCCAGGGGATTCGAACGGTAGGTCGTCCTGCTGCCTCTCCTGTTTCCCACCTTTGCTGGCCCACTGTTCTTTCTGGGTTCAAGGCCTGATCAGTGCACCGTGCCCGCATTAGACGTGCCTTAGTCCCATTGTAGTTATTGAACATTCCGCCTTCACCAATATTCGATCTTGCACATATCCCCATCTACATCCTCATTTCCACTTGGTAGCGGAGCACGTTCACCCCTGGTCCCACCACGGCCGCCATGGCTCGCTTCGCGTCGACCGCAATGGCTTCCACCTTCCGCCGCCTTCAACTTCGGCCAACCGCCTTCAACATGTGCGCTTCCGTGCACTTCCACCCCTTCGCTTCGGCAGGGGATGCTGCTTTAGGGTCCGTCGGGGCTGTGCCGGCCCATCCGCCGGGAGCAGCGACTGGGAGCGTGCACGCCGTCTTGAACACGTCCGCCTTCGTGTATGTTTTCCCGATCACTACGGCAGGAAGCGTTACTCGAGGGTTCGCCGGGGTATCCGCCCATCCGCCAGGAACAGTGACCGAGAACGTGCACAAACAGTACGTCATCGAAGACAACGTCACCAAGATCTACAATCACTTGTTTGCGACCAATCCCGGGCATGCTCGGACGGTGTCCAGGCAGCTCGCGGACCCCGAAGTGTCAGTGCCCCCGCCCGTGGGGGTTGCCTCAGGTGTTAGACAGTTGCTCGACACGGCGCTCACATATGCGGCGTCAGAACAACTTCCCGAACTTCTCTGGATTGTGCTTCGAGGGCTTTGGGATAAGCAAGCAGAGAAGAAGCGTCCGGCGACTGCGTTGCCGGGCCGAGCGGGGCCGCGGTGGGGAGTATGGGAACTGCGTTCTCGCCCCCCCAGGGGTGATGCAGAGGAGGGCATGACGGCTGGGACGCCATCACTCCGAGGCACCGCACCTCGGGACCCGACCCTGCGTTCCACCTACGCAGACCCGCCAGCCAGGCAGGACGGGACTCAGTGCAGCAACCGCACGACGCGCGAAGAGCATTCCCGTGATTGCGCCGCGGGATGCCCCGAGTACCGCGAGCACCACAGGGCGCAGGGACACGACAGAAGCATGGGCCCAATGCGCTGACGAGGAGGAACACATCCGGGGCAGGTATTCGCGGCGACTCATGCAACGCCGCTTGAGGATCCCCGGCTTCCAGCACCTGCGCGACATGTTGAGGGAGCTACTTCCCGAATGAAAGACCATCGGAGTCGACATGCGTGCCATCGCAAACTGCATCGCTTGCGCGGGCGCAGGCGGTGGCAGCGGCAACCTGCGCCACCTCCGCATCTGGGGGCCCGATCACCAGGCTCGCGTGCCTTCCCGGAAATGGGCGCGCGAGGTGGCGACCTGGTCAGTGGCGAGCTCAGACCTGAACGACTTTCGCCAGGCGGCCCACGTCTCGTCGCGCCTTGCCGGCCTGGCGCGCGAGTGCGCGGACGAGCGGCCGCCGGCCGCCCTGGCCCGTGGCGGTCTCATTAACGGCAACCCAGCGCCATCGATGACACTCCTAGTGCACAGCTTGGCCGATCGACGGGGCCAGCTGGGCGAGGGGGGGCGCGCCTCGGCGGCGTCGGCCTTGAAGAACTTCAACCGACTGCCGCGGGGGCGCATCGACAACCTCCTGGCGAGGCTCGACATCTCCTGCAATCGGGCACAGCAGGCTGGTCAATTCATAATCGGCTACGAGGGGCTCAGCGCCCCGCTGCCGCGCGCCGTCGGCGCGTCGACCGCTCGACCCGCCACGCCCCTGCAGCGCTGCGCCGCGGGCTGCCCCGCGAACGCTCGACAGCTCACCAAGGTGACGGGCCAGCTGAGACGCTGTGGGCGCATGATAGAGGGATCGCTGGGCAACCTCGCCTCGGCGGCCCACTCTGCTCAACGGCGCTCGTTCCTCGCGGGCGCGCCCGCGCAGGCGGTGCGCCGGGGCGGCATGGGCCCCGCTGCGCCGGGGTCGGCACCAGGAGGCCCCCTTGCGCCGTCCGTGGCCGCGT